ATCACTGCAATTGTTAAACTAGTAACACAGTTGTTAAGTGAATCTGGTTTCCTCATTACATTACTTGTCAGAAGGTTGCAAAATGATGATCGCATGAAAAAACATCATAAATATGAGTCAGTTGTCAAGCATCCAAATGTAAATCACATGACCACAGGGATTCTGCAATGGACATAAGTGTGAAAAATGGTCATAACTTACTTTTTAGTGCAGTTATAACTTTGAATGGTCACTAAGTGAACTGTTGTAAATTGAGGACTACCTATACAGATTTGGATATGTGGTTCAACTGAAATCTCATTAAGGCAACCGCGCTTATTTCTGGAATTCCAACGCTTTGTTTGATTTATTTCTTTTTGGGTGAGCACTGAGTTGCATCCTGGAATGCTTTTCAATGGAATTTCTTGGCAAAAACATTTTAATATTTTAGTTACCTAGTCTTTACAATTCTTTGTTTTCCCTCCTTTGATTCTTTTCTTTTTCCTCAGTTATGGATATTTTGTCTGATAGTTATTATGCCCTGTGACTAAGATCAAGAGAAATCTATATAAGCTGTTTAAAATTACAAATATTTTATGTAAAAATAAGGTGAAAAAAATCCTTGGGAAAGCAGCATTTTAAAAACCAGCAGGAAAAGGACAGTTCAAAGCACGTAACCTGCAGAGAGAAATATTTTTTTGCAAGGCAGAGACCCATCTTACTTTTACACACAATGGGATCAGAAGTTCCCTCTGAAGATCTTGACCTACTTGTAAATCATTGCTTGATACAATATATACCTGGAAGATAATAATCTCCAGGTCATGGTAACAAATGCATATTTGACATCTACTATTAATTTGGAACTATTTCCATGTAATCATTTTTAACCACTGATGCCATTCAGTAACACAGAAGCAGAGTGAAAGGAATGCATGAAAAAAACAACATGATTATAAAGGAAACCATCATTGACTTTCCCAGGTAAATTTCATGTCATATACTCACAGTTGCTCAATTCCAAGAATTCTGAATTGGGAAACAACCAGAAGCATTCAAGTCCCATGCTAATGGGAGTCAGGAAAGGCAAATATTTTTTTCTTTCTGGGATAAAAACTAATGTTATATATAACCCTTAAATTCAAGAATAAAGAGTTCTCACATAAATTTTGTCAGCCTACCATATTGGGGAAGGTAATCCATTTTTGTTGAACAGAAGTCCATCTCGTGGGCAGACCTGCCATAAGAGGCTGAATAGATGTTAAGAAATTTAGATTCATGGCAGTGTAGTTTCAATTCTTCATTTTCACACACTGATCTAGTTTTATATTCACCTGGAAGAGAAAAGGTCAAAAAGCAATGGTGAGAGATAACTGGGCTCTTGGATAAGCGATAAAAAATATTATGTGCTGGTCCTGTTGTCACTTGTGTAAGCAGTCTAGTGTGGAGATAAATGGTGAAAGCATCACATACTTACTGAGAGATCCAGCTAAGACAATCATAGTTCTAAATTGGGGTTTGTTAACTCATATGATTTAGTCTTGTGACTTACAGTATTGACATTTATTGTATATAGATTTATGGAGACATTTCTTAATGTTAAATATTTTAATGCTGAATTATATTAACATGTGGAATTTTATAATTTTTAAGATCTTTGATTACAAAATTGGAGCTTGAGGAATTTGCTAAGTAAATTATTGTGAGAAATTGGAAAAGCATTACCATTTTAGATATAAGGGACTAAAGGCAATGCACCTGTCATTGTATCAATTATTACTATTTTTACTATTCCAAGAAATGGCACAATACGTAACTTATTAAAAATATTTCTAATTTAAAATATTCATATATAAGTGTTGCAGGTACTTGTTTCATTGGTGGCCTCAATAGATGTTTTATAGGTAGATATTTATTATATGTGTTATATCTGGAGTGTTCATAATGTGTTCCAGTTTTGCTTATTATTATTATTTGTCACTAATATTTTTCTTTACTTTTGCTTTTGGAATTAGTTGGATATTTTGTATTTTTCAGACGTTGCTGTAGAATCAATTTTAAAAGGTTATCAGCTATGGAAAAGAGGGACTACTCATAGCATTTGTGGCAGAATTATACACAGTATACTCAATGAGAGTATTCTTGATAGAGAAGCTGTGATCAGTAAACTAAGTTTTTGGTAGTTCCTATTCTATGCATTTTTGTATTCTATTTTTTTTAACTAGACCCAAAATGTTACAGAAGTAACTCTATGTATCACTGTCAATTAGTTAATTTCAGAGGAAAAATATGTATTTTTATTCTGTACCACTGAGCACTACTGAATGCCGTACACAGCACTACTTTTCTCTGGTAAAAAGGTAGAATGGAAAACCAAATAAGATTAAGACCAATCCCTATCATGTTGGAGAATTATGGCAGATGATTTAAATATTCACAATTATTGATACTCTACACCATGTGTAATGTATCCTGTGCATTTTCTTGATAACCAGTTATATCCCATTGGACTAGAAAAAATAGGGCAAGAGTTTTCTTTGGCCGTATTCCAAACAGATCCCTTAGTATACAGGATTGAGACTTTAAGGAAGAGAGAGGATTCACTTCCAGTGGCTCTGGGTACTGATTGGCAAATTGTTGTCTCTGGGCTGCATGCACCACTAACTCTTTTTCTGTTTCCCAGCATCTATTTGGGAACAACAAGAAAAAAAGATGTTGGCAACTACAGAGACTTTGCCCAGCATTTCTCACCAGACACTTAAGGAAAAAAAGAGTTAACATTTAAAGGGATGTCAGCAACAGCTCTAGCAGGCCTTCCCAGCTCCATAAATTACTAATGAGCCAATTATTATGCTGCATGGTAATGGAGACTGAATGCACCATCACTTTTCTATTAGTAAAACAGAACAGTAATATAATATAAATAGAGTGGCCTTCTTTTGTTGTTGTTTTTTTGCTTATACTATATCCACTCAAACAAACCCAGAAGAAATGTAGTTAAAACAGCTCAGGCTGTAAAGATGAATCCACAATCATCTGTGATAACTCTCTCATTTTTATTTTGGGATATTTTCTGCCCCAAAAGTATTGGTTGTTACTGGATTATATGGAAAAATATTTTCCAGGCATTTCTGATAATACTGTTGTATATGTGTGAAAATATTGGAAAAGCAGCTACAGGGAGCTTTAGGGCTCTGTCAAATCTTTATATATATTATCTAGTGTTACATAGAAGTACACAAATAGGGAAGACTAATGCACTCAAGAATATCCTCAAGATTTTACACAATGATTTAATTGTCTTGCACACTGTGCTAAGCTACACTTTCTATAACCATAGTTTACTTAATAAACTGCAATCCACATAACATGCAAACCCATATATGCAAACTATAATTTCTTCATTATCAGCTACTACTAGCCAGTGCTTCCTGCTCTGGGTGCCCTCCTGTTATAGGGACTCCAGTACAAAAAATTCTCATCAAAGTTCATCCTGGTTAGGGAAATTCACCTATCTACAAGATGCCCACATTGGGTACGGGTAAGTACAACAAACATTTTTACATATGATTGCAATGTTTGGATTTAGTGAGGTCAGGGCTTTGCAGAAATCCATGCAAAGGTTTTTGTGTTGTTATTACCATTTAAACCAGTGGTCTTCCACCTTGTCAACTTTAAGCCTGGCGGACTTCAACTTCCATGGAATTCTGGGAGTTGAAATCCTTCAGACTTAGAGTTGCCAAGGTTGGAGACCCCTGATTTAAACTGAAAGAAACATACATAAAAAAATGACCATTCTGCAAATTACTTACTAGGTCGACACTTAAAGGAGACTAGGAGATATTTAGTGACTCCTGGACATAACTCAGATCCAAAAAGTCGACTGTTAACAAGGAGTTGGCAGTCTCTCAGGTCCTGGCATTCATCGAGGACTTTCTACAACAGTACCACACAAAAAAAAGTCTTTAAAAACATTTTTAAAAACTATGCAACAATGTAAATTCTGACTATTAAGATCTATCATGACAAACTTTACCCACTGATTAACAGTAATATACTTACTAAATAAATACTAAAATAAGATTTCCAAAGCAAATTATGTGAAATAATATTATTAACAAATTACTACCAGAGACGTTTCTGTTCTAAAGGGTAAGCTTTGATTCAAAATCTCCAGGAGAGGTTGTTTTATAAACACCAATGCTGGAAAAACCGGAAGCAGTAGTAATATTAGAATACCATTTCAGAAACTGTCATGGGAGAAGCAGTTTGAAGATCTACAATTCACTGATTTTGAAGAACATAATTAAACATTATGATCATAATTACTTCTGAAATTACCATTTTAATGCTCCCCAACCCCACTAAATGAAGACACATTCAGCTACTAGTAAATGAAATTTATACTGAAAGCATAATGCATTTCTGTCATAGTTGGTTGTCCGAAATTAACTTCTAAAGAAGGGCTGTTTAAGGCTTCAAATATTTATATACTGTGGCTTTACTGCCATTATTAGCATTAAGAAGCAAAGTGCTTTTAACCACTTTCCTCAAATTTCTGGAAGTAAATATCCTGAGCCAAAATATTTAACATGGGTAAGGGTTTATAATTTGCATGTAAACAAATAAAAGAGAACCAAAAAAAAAACAAAAAACCAATACATAGAAAAGAATTAAAAGAAATGTACACATAACTACAATATAGTGAAAATTGCTATCTAATAATCTTATATTCTATATTTTAAATACAACCTAGCTACTGAAATGTAAGAAGAGGAAAATTGTTTAAAAGCTCCCTGGAGTTCCTGTTGCAAAAAACAGGTGACAGTTTTCAACTAATTTTTAGGAGAAAAATATATTGAAACTGTCATGAAAGTCCTAATAACCAACCATTCCTGGCATAATATATGCAAGTAGTCCTCGACTTATGACCACAGTTGAGCCCAGAATTTATGTTGCTGTGAGAAATTTGTTAGTAAGTGTTGCCCCATTTTATGACTTTTCTTGCCATATTTATTAAGTGAATCTCTGCAGTTGTTAAATTAGTAACACAGTAGTTAAGTGAATCTGGCTTCCCTATTGGCTTTACTTGACAAAAGGTCACAAAAGATGATCATAAGACTTTGGGACACTGCAACCGTCATCAATACGAACCAGTTGTCAAGCATCCGAATGTAAATCATGTTTCCATGGGGATGCTGCAACAGTCTTCAGTGTAAAAAATGGTCAGAAGTCACTTTTTTCAGTGCCATTGTGACTTTGAATAGTCACTAAATGAGCTGTTGTAATTCGAGGACTACCTGTATTTAATATACTGCAGTTGCAATTCAAACTCTTCAAAATTCCCCTCAACCTAGAAAAAAAGAAGAAGAAATCTTGGCTTTGACAAATGAAGCTCTTAATCATTCTCCATGGATCATGTGGTTCTATTAGAAGGTTGCCTGCATCTGTTGTATGGCTCAACTTGAATAGCCCCCCAAAAATATTGTTTGTTGCGTTTTATAAATGAGGATGCAATTCCTATGCTTCCTTATTAAACTTAAGGATCCTTCCAGGCCACCAGCATTTCCATGCACAATCAGTGCCTCAAAAAGCAATGTGAAAGCAAGCCACAATTTTCTCCATCTATTTCCATCCTGAAATAAGAGAAGCAGCAAATAACATAAATCAGCCAATATTCACTTTCTTCCCTGCATCTGGCCAAAGGAAGAGTTCAAAGACTATAAGCCAAACTATATCCCTTTCCCAGAGCTCACATAATAAAAACCTTACACTCATTTCATATAAAAAGGAAACAGAATACAGGTAGTCCTCGACTTACAACAGTTAATTTAGTGACCGTTCAACGTTACAACAGCACTGAAAAAAGTGACTCATGACCGTTTTTCACACTTATGACCATTGCAACATCCACCTGATCAAAATTGGGATGCTTGGCAATTGGTTCCTATTTATGATGGTTGCAGTGCTCAAGCATGGAAATGGTCGGAATACTTATGGATTAAATTTTTCCTTCAGAACTTGATCAAAAAAATCATGTATATAAAGTGTTTATTCTGGAAAGTAATACACTCATTTGGTTATTTTTCTATTTCAGAGAGCTTAAATAGGAACAATCAGATGTGTTTCTAAGAATATCCTGGTGTATTTTGGAATAACTGGAAGTCTTTTAAATTAAAATAAAACCAGACAAATATTTTTCATTTCAGTCCAGTCAGTACCAAGTACAGATGTGAAATCACTTTTAAAAAAAGCTGGACTTTCAGAGGTTACTTTTCCACTATTACAAAACAGCACTTATAAATCAAGCTTATGGAACTTGTAGCACATGGCACTATGATTCTCCCCTGATAACAATGATTTTATTAAGTGTAAAGTCATGGTGGTTTCTTTCTTATCTTTCATGGCTGCAAAGTTCTTTAAGAACGATCACATTTATTACATTTATAGGAATATTCTATGCAAACATATTTGGACAAATTCTGTATTGACTACAATGCCAAGTATGTATCTGCAAGGACTGCAGTAGGTTGGTTAAATGCTGCTTTTTACAAACTAGGAAAGACCAGAAGAAAGAAGTGGATGGGTTAGGACAAAAATGAACATACACCATATATTTGTAATGTAATCTGCCCAAATCAATCCAATGCAGGATGAAGATCTAAACCACACTGACCCCCATACACTTCATATTCCCACTCAATGTAAAAAGTAAAATATGAAATACATTAAAAATGGAAGGATGGCATACTTAAAGGCAAATTACAACCCTTAAGCATCACCTTTAGATTAAAGATTTTACTATACATTTGTCCCCAAATGGCTTCTTAGGAAAAAGATTACAGGTGGTTGCAGTGATTTATTTGGATGTGTTCTTACCTAGCCAGTAATAGGATTTAAGAAAGCAGTGACATATAGACTATCTACCACCAAAAAATACGGTGGAGATTTCTGCTTAGCAGTAAGAGAGACGATCTTTATTATGATTCAAGTACTGCATACTGAGTACTCATTACTACTAAAACAAAATAAAAAGCAATTAACTATAATAGTAATCCTAAATAAATTATCAGGACTTGGTTTCGTGTTCATGTTCTTCAATTTTTATATTCAAATCTAATTTGTAACTTGTTTCTTTTTCTTCTTTTGAAATCCATCAAGACAAATATGGATTTTAGAAAGGCTGGTTTACCTGCTTGTGGTAACTAGAATAATGCTCAAATATCTTATTATTTCTCAATTTAATATAGCAGGGTAAAACCCAGGATAAAATGCAGAACCAAAATCAGTGAGTTTGTGTCTAAACTTAGTCTGGAATATGAAACTTCAACCTACAATCCTATCTGCTTTGCATCCTCTACAGTTCAGAGGTATGTATTTATGGGGATTGAATGAATACAATGGGAACTCATGTGTAAATATCATGCCAATTAGGAGGACTAAAGATCCTATTGTGTAGGGTACATTCAAGTCTGACCACTTTTTTTAACATCATTTGTGTTCAGGAAAAGACTTCCTATTCTTTAGGTTGCTATTTCTAAGTTATTCTATTAAGGAAAGAATTCTTGTCTTAGAAGAGGGCAGCATTAGCAACATTCCCAGAAAACTAAGTATAATAAGCCAATATATGATGAAGTGCCTGGGCTGTAGCATTATTATGGCTTGGAACACAAAAAAGCTCTACAATTTTATTTTTGTGTCTCCAAGAAGGCAGTCAAAAATGCTAAAGGTGAGAAATCAGAAAATCCCTGTATATATTTTCTGAAGTATTAGCCTACTACTAAATAGTCTTGCTACAAAATTGGCTGCTTGATATTTCAATATACTTATTATTGGTAGTATTCCATTATCTTATCAATACTGTGCTATAAATTCTGTGGCTGATTAAAAATTTGGAGCCAAAATTTTTCTGTTGGCAATATAAATTTAAGTCTTTCAGGAAACTCCACTGACCTAAACTAATGCCAAGACAATTCTGACAAAACTAGTGGATTGGCACAAATTAACATTGGACCATTGGTCATGAATCTTAATAGAGTTTCACACTGTTGGATGGTTTTTTGTGCCAATCTGCTTGGCAAGAGAGGAACTCAGACAGTTCATTCAGCAACTCGGTCTGTGACAACTCTTCCCACCTCCCAAACTGGATTGCTTTTACGATGAGACCCTGCTCCAATGAGTTCTTGAATAGCTTGTGCCACTCGACTTCAAACTTCAGCCAGTTTCATTTAAAAAGTCATGGACTTTAAAATGTGAATGTCATTTTATGATTTTTGAACAATCAAATATCAGCTTTAAAAGTACTCAGATTTATTCTCTGTATCAATATGGACAAACTCTTTATTCTGAAGGAACAAAATTATGAAGAAATGTCATCTGAAAAGGCCTCATAATTAATTATATACTATAAACCTCCAGCAAATTAAACCAACTCATTTGCAAACTTAGTCAAGCTTTGTAACTGATATTCCAGATATTAACATGCTGAATCTTTCTTCATTTCATTTTTAATCTACTGTAAATAAATTATCTAAAATATTTCTGATTTGTTTTAAACACTACAATATAGTATTTTATACCTGCAAGGTAGTAGATGCCACACAGTTTAGTGGCTCTTTCACCATGACTTCAGGTTGCTGTGCACTACACAAGTGGTAAGCTTGCCCATAATATGCAGATTGGACACTTATTGTTGAATGCCGAGGACACCGGAGACTCAAATGATCACCATCGCAGGCATACACAGTATGGTTTCGCAGGAGTTTGGTTAGGTAACCTAAAAAAATATTTAACTCTGTTACATTTAGTGAAGCAATATTCCTTTCTCCTCTAAATTTGAATTTAAAATGATCAATAAAATTTGGTTTGATTAATAGTTTGGGATGCTAGGAAAGGTCCAATTTCTTTAAAACAAATCATTACCAGAATAAAATTTGCTGTTCCTGTTGCTAATCCCTGTTGATCTTCAACTATGTCTTTTTCAAGTCCTAATAAATAGTGTTGCTGCATAGGTTCCCAAGAGAAGTTGTCCCTTTTATGATTGTGTATATGACTAGGTCCCCTAACAGTGGGAGAAATGAACTCATTATCTGCCGGGCTACTACTCCACAAAAGTGGAAGTGATTGAAAGTGACAAATGTTGCCTGGACTACTGCAACGCTCTCTACATGGGGCTTGAAGAGCACCCGGAGGCTTCAGCTGGTCCAGAATGCGGCCACACAGGTTATCATGGGGGCACCTAGGTGCTCCCATGTTACTCTCCTTTTTGGCAGCCTGCACTGGTTGCCGGTTGTTTTCCGGGTGC